AACTCACTAACGTGAGATCGTGACCTGAGCTGAAGTCGGACGCTTAACTGACTGAGCCACCCAGGCGCCCCTAAACATATATGTCTTATTACTAAATTACTATTCATGTGACTGTTCTCATTAGTGTTGTTTTTGGTAAGTCTCATTAGCTCAATTAAATCTCTGTGTTTCATTATTTACATATTTCTTTAATTGTGTCTCATCTGGTATTGTTTCTTACATAATGAAATACAATGACCTTTATGATTTATAATGCAGTTTTTGGCATTTCTAGACAAAGTTTGCCCTGGTTTTATGACTCATTGTCTGGAACGAATTTAGTTCAGTATAAACCTCTAGGTCTTACATATTAGTAGAACTATTATTCTTAAGAATATACCTAATGCAGAAGACCTGCTTTGAAGTTAGATGTTTATAGAATGAAAGCACATTGATGGGAGAGGCTTACTTTCTTTAATACAGTTTTCCTTCATTTACTAGATTCTCCTGAATTATTTTGGAAACTATGTACCTAATGCATGGACACAGGATAATGGCTGCACTCTTTGTGACTTGGATACAATTGACTTGTCTACAGTAGATGTGAGTGGAAATGTGTGAAATGTCAGGAAGTGCAGTGATTTGTTGAAAGAACATTAGCTTATAGTTTTGATATATGGTAGATAATGCATTTATAAGGCTAAAACAGGATGACACAGAAAATTGCTAGAGTTTTGTATTTCTGAACTGTTTTTGAGAGTAAAACTGGCTAGTAATTGATCCCAATAAAAGGAGCTTGGTTGTTAATATTTAATATTAATCTTATTATGATTGGCTGCCCTTGTTTTTAGTCTGCCAACTTAGTCAAAGCATCGAGGAAAAAAATGCTTCAGCATTTGTATTGACTAATATTATCTGTGCTTGATTTTTAAATTTGATGAGTTAAAAAATAATATATGATTATATAACTAAGAATTGTTTTAACTATTTTGCATAAAATACTCCAACTAAACTTCACCAAATCTCTTAAGTAGGTAGTGCTGTTGACACAGTTTTACAAATGAAAAACTGAGGGACACACAGATTAAGTAACTTGCTTAAGGGCACACAGTTTTTTTAGGCGTTGAAGGTGGGATTTGAATTTAGGCAGCCCGGCCCTAGACCCTGTATTCTTGACCACTGCAATTTTGCCTAGATGTCATATACACATTATGTGCCACACACAATGCTACTTATAGGCATATTTCATAGAGAATTATAACTAGTTTGAGGGTAAAGGAGCAATTAGAAATAATATTTATCTGTAGAACATTTGCATTCTTCTTCTGTCATCCACCAGAGCAGTTTCAGTGTATTCTATAGTAACGTATTTCTTCCAAAAAATTGCTCTTGTAACTTAGAAAACTGTTATTACATATATGAGCAGTTGGATTCTAGGGATGATTTTGTCATTAAGGCTGATTCTTTCCTTCATTCATCATAGGTTTATGGAGTCTCTGCAGCATGCCAGATAAGTAGAACCAATATAAGCAAAAATAAAATTCCCAGTAATGTAGTTCTGGCAACTCCTGGATCCATGCAAATATAAAATACTCTCACTGTATAGAACCAAAGCTCCTGAATTTAAATACTTTCTATGCTTATCACTGTCTGAAAGGAGGACAAAGAGTAACTTGTGCATATATAGGAGCTTCTGAATAGAGCCTTACTTTCCTTGAAAATAAGACTTTTTGGCCGGTCTCTCAAATAACAAACCGAATGTTTCCTATCCGGAAAGAATGCCAGAATATTTTTGAATGAAGCTGCATCATGATGTTTAAAAATTCAACCTGATCTTTTCTGCAGAAAGTAGTGTTGTCCTTTGGAGGGAGGGTTAATGCTTTTTATCTGTTCAGTCTCCTTTTACATAAACTTTCTGGTACAAAGATAGAAAAATATTTACTTTAAAATTTTTTATCTTATCACTATTAGTTTTTGCATATAGGAGTAAATCACTTATTTCTTAAACTCTTTTGTCTGACAGACTGATAAAATATGTTAGAAAGGAAAGCTATTATATTTTGCTAGACAGATTTTTTATATGTTTTACATATTAGTTACTATGCAATAAGGATATAAAAATTAAAATTATATGGGTAGTTCTCAGGCCTACCATATTCTTGGATGTGGGCCATAGGTAAGGTTCTTTATATATAAAGAAAGGGAGGGTTAAATGAAACTTTATACATATATAAATGATATTTATATTTATAAATTGTATATACATATGCAGTGCTAAGCCTTCAGTGTTAACTGTTGTATTATCATTAGTATATAAAGCCAACTTAGATGGATAATGAAATTGTAGCATGTTGAAACCCAGGTCTTTACCTGTTAATTATGTGTTCTGAGTTGCTCAACTTCTCTAAATCCCATTTTCCTCATGTGTTATTTGGAATAATAAATAACTTCTAAGGTTATTATGAAATGTAAATGAAATGTATTATATCATTTGATAAGGGACAGTTGTGATCTACTTTTCACTTATTTCCTCTATTAAATTGAGAACTCCCAGAGGGTAGATATTTTGTCTTTAGTTTGGATTTTTTTATTCAATAATAAATATTTGGGTGAGTGAATGAATTTATAAAGAAGTAGAACAGTGTACAAGGTATATACTTCAGTGCAAACAAACATTAACTTATAATCCAGATAACAGAAATATATGAGGCATCATGTATGAAAAGATGGGAAATGAGGTACCTCATTCAGCACTTAACATATGATATTTCTAAAAAACTTTAATCCTTAAATTCAGGTTTTAAGACATGTTTATTTTTAATTTTCTTAATTTTTTCAAATGTTTATTTATATTTTGAGAGAGAGAGAGAGACAGAGCACAAGCAGGGGAGGGGCAGAGAGAGAGGGAGACAGAATCCAAAGCAAGCTCCAGGCTCCAAGCATTCAGCAGAGAGCCTGATGTGGGGATTGAACTCACAAGCTGTGAGATCACGACCTGAGCAGAAGTCGGACGCCCAACTGACTGAGCCATCTAGCTGCCTCAAGACATGTTTAAAAAAGGCATTATAAAGAAATCTTTCATATAGTTTTGGTAATAACACTATTACATGGTCATTTACTTATGTTTCTGTCTTCCCCAACATTTGTAAATTTTTCAAGACAGGAACTTTCACTCTTTGTCCTAAATGTTGCTTATCACAAGGACTGACAAATATAAAGAGTATTTCAAAATTTTCATGCAATGAATGAAAGATAAACTATCCTATAATACATACCCAAACAGGTTTTTGAAAATCTATAAAAATAGAACAAGGTAAACTATAGTTTTCTCGTGTATAATAATGAAGCAAAATAAAGTACTGTCCATAAAATGAGATTAAAGGAAATATTCAAGGATAGAAATAAAGGCTCAAGAACTCCATGGTTGCTTTATTTGAGCTACAAATTAAATGCGGGACTTCCAAGCCATGGAAACCAAAAGAGAAACACAATTAGCGTTATGGCTTCTTAGATGAAGATGTCAAAATAGATTCAGAACTGAAGGACATTTCTTTAAAGACTATCATAAAGGAAGCACTGAATAATAGAGTAAGCAATATCCTTTATTACATCCATGTAGTAAATAGGATAGTGAGTTTCCTCTTCAAACCTAAGTCATAATGCCAATACGTGATTGAGTAAAATCACTTTGATGGAGGCCATAGGATTGTATTTTATATGTTAGCGAATTGCCATGAGTCAATTCTGATTTAGCAGATTATATTGAAATGATATTGCTGGTATATTTTATGTTGTATTGATTAAGAATTAAGATTAATATTGATTAAGATTAACAATTAAGAATAAATAAAATTAAGAATAAATCCAAAATAATAATTTGTTTTCATGTTGCCGTAAAACAAAGGTCCATCCAAATGTAACAATAGGCGTTTTTATTGAACAACCAACCCCTTTCCTACCTCGATTTCTGGACATATTGTTGACACTGGATTACCCAAAAGAAGCACTTAAACTCTTTATTCATAATAAAGTAAGTATTTGAGCAATGAATATTTTGTGTGAAAATTATTTTTTATCTTCTTTGGAAATATGTGTTATTATTTACTTATATAAATTTAGTGGGGAATTTTTGGAGTAATTACTGTCCTGCTTATGTCGAACCTAAAGATTTTAGAATCTGGAAACTATCATAATATTGGAATGAGCCACGTGAAACTCAGTTTTGTAGATCAAAAATGGTTGAATATCAGCTCATTTCATATGGCTCAACTTACTATATATGTGAAGAAATGTCAAAGGTCCTTGTATTCCTTGCCTTTGGGTTTTATGGAATTTTCTTTTATGGAACTGGTCATTAAATTGTTTGCAGCTTAAGCTAATACCATAGCATCAGAACTTGAAATCGCTTCCAGATATAGTATTGTTTTGATTAATCACACAATGGCATGCTCTCCCCCAAAGGATTTTGATACTGTCATTTCCTCCAAAAATATACAGAACCTCCCCAACCCTCCCACATGTAATCTAAACTTAAAGACCCTTTTCTCAGAATTTTCCCATATATTTGTCTCTTTCCTGTTAAAACAATTGACACTTAACATATTCTAGAAAAATGCAATAGGTGTGAAGTACACTGTTTTCTCCCTTTTGTCCTAATGCTTTTGGTTTAATATTGTTCTTTCTTCCTAACGTTCATGTCAGTTTATCATTTGCCTTTTCCAGGGAATAGTTTAAATTCATAGAAAAAGTTTCATAGCTAAAAAAAGTTTAGAAGGGTGAATCGTTGAGCATTTGCTCTGTAAAATGCATTGTAATGTATTTATATACATTAAAGTGTTTTGTTTTTATGTATTGTGTCTTTTATTTAGGTCTTCTTCCTTTTGTAGGACCTTCTTAATGGCAGAGGATTTTGCCTCCCCCCCCCTTTTTATATATAAAATGAACTCTGTGTAGCTTTTATGCTTTATAAGTAGTTTTTTTTTTTTTTTTTTTTTTTTTTTTTTTTTTTTTTTTTTTTTTTTTTTTTTTTTTAAATTTTTTTTTTAACGTTTATTTATTTTTGAGACAGGGAGAGACAGAGCATGAACAGGGGAGGGTCAGAGAGAGGGAGACACAGAATCTGAAGCAGGCTCCAGGCTCCGAGCTGTCAGCACAGAGCCCGACGCGGGGCTCGAACTCCCGGACCGCGAGATCGTGACCTGAGCCGAAGTCGGACGCTTAACCGACTGAGCCACCCAGGCGCCCCTATAAGTAGTTTTAACAAGCTGTGGAAAGCTTTCAAAAATACTTAGTGAGACTTGATACATAAAAAGCTCTGAAATGCTCTAATGTTGGATTATCTGTGTTAGATAATCTTATCTAAATTTTAGCATAGTTGAATCACACTAATTTGATGACTTATATGTTGATAATTTTCCCATTATATTTTCTTATTGATAAAATTTTGTTAAACTTTACCTTCTTTTTGTAAAAACACAGTTTCATATGTGACCACTAATTTTTCTCTCTGGCTTTAAAGAGTATTAAAATATTTATTTTATAAAATATTGTATTTATAACTTAGATTAATATCTATTACGTTTAGTAGGCATTTTTATGGATATTTTAAAGCACATGTCTAAGATTCTCAGGCCACAAACCATTTTCCTTCAAGTTAGAGCATTTTATAGCAGCCAGGATTTAAATATTAATTCGAGGACCTGTCTAGGAGTGGACGTCAGAAGAATTTTGAAGTATCTTCTATTGAAAAAAATATTGCTATGTATCTACTTTAGATTTTTCATGTGATATTGAAATTGAATTTGTTTAATATAGGTTATCATTTCGTCTGTAATTGAGGAAATAATGTGAATTGTGGAATTGACAACTTTGAATGGGATGCCATCCCTATGTATGAACACTTCAGTCATCCTATTGTCTTTTTGGCACTAATTTTTGACTTTTAAAATATGTTACAGGAAGTTTATCATGAAAAGGACATCAAGGTATTTTTTGATAAAGCTAAACATGAAATCAGTACTATAAAAATAGTAGGACCAGAAGAAAACCTAAGTCAAGCTGAAGCCAGAAACATGGGAATGTATGTTTTTTTGTTTTCTGTTTTCCTAATAAATCCCTATGCCTACTCCTTTTATAGGCTGGTCAATAA